GTCTTCACTAAATGTTAAGCTTTGCCAAAATTTAAAGAATTTTAATGCACTGATATGTTAATATTCTTTTTAAAAGACAATGAGAAGAACTCAAGGATTTTGGCTTGAACAAATGTCAAGATTTACTGGGGCAAAGGAAGCATGAGGAATAAATAGGTTTGGGTGAGGTGCAATAGAGGTAATACCCAATAGCCAAGGCTATATGTGTTAGATTCAAGAGAGGCCCATTAGAAATCAAAGTGGAAACATAGAGTGACCAGTAGTATATTTTAATCTACAACTCAGTCAAGGGTTAAGTTGAGAGACAAATTGAATAATTGTCGATGTTTTAAGAGATAGAAGGAGTGCAATAATCTTTGAGAGAAGTGGGAGAGTGAATTGACAGGGGAGTAGTGTTGTTACTTGTTATGGTCAATGATTATAAAGTCAGATTGAGATGAAGTCAGCATGAGTATATGCTTTCTCCTACTGTAGGTTTTATCAGGCAGTTGTAATGGAGAGGACAAACGATTTCAGTGAAGGTCATTTAAAATTAAAATAGGTAAGATAGGAAGTAGGACATGAAGTGATGAGTGACAGTAGGAAGATGATAGGGTGAATAGTTAGGAGGTCCCTTGAGTTCAAAGAATTTGTGGAACCAGAATATTAGAGATTTTTTTTTTTTTAAGTAGGAGTTACTCTGTCACTACTGCTACCTCACCTTGTCTTCCAAACTTCCCAAGAACAATAGCCAAAAAGACCAGAGAGAAGCCAAGATAGCTTAAAGAGAAACTTTGTTCCTTTTTTCAGGAAGTTTAGTGTCTGCTGTCATTCCTCTGTCAACATGTACCCATAGTATATACACAAAATAATGGATAAGTGCCTTCTCAGTTCTAGGTCTATCTTTACCTTCCCCATCTTTATCATCTTTATCACTCTTAGAAGCTGTGACCTTTCATCATACTATTATCTAAGAGTTTTTCCCCTTCTCTTTTATTATTTTTATCGTTGAAGTCCATTGTCTTAAAGGGATTATGAGAATCCCTGGTTTTTCCACCATCCTTGAACTTTGCACTTAGAAGATAGTTGTGGAACCAGCTCGTAAAACTGAGTATTTACCAAAAATCCAGTGAGACTTCCTGTATATTTTCTGTTTATGTCTCTCACTAGCCTATAAATGTATTTAGGATTGGGCCAGTGCTTTATTTGTTGTTTTTCTCGGTGTCTCCCACAATGCCTGACAATGATTATGATATCTATTTAAAAATAAATTAATAAGCTGTTTTTAGAAACTCTTCACTTATTTAGAGGGCACTTTTCTTTTGCTTGCCTGTCTAAATCTTATGTAAGGACAGCTGAGAAATAGGGAAGGAAACAATTCTAGGACTCTTCCCTATAGATGGAAATACATCTATCCCAAGATAGGGTCATAGCAGCATTTGGTTTTCATAATAGCTCCAAATTGTAAACAGTTCAGATGAATAAATAGCGGTATATACATTCAACTGAATACTATTCATCAATTAAAAAGAACAAACTATTGATCCATGCTGCAACTGAGCATCACTAACATTAGGTGAAATGAAAGAAGCCAGATGTAAAAATCTCTACATATTACGTGATTATATTTTGTAGGAAATACCTAGCTTATTGAGACAGAAAGCAGACCAGTGTTTACTTAGGACTGAGAGTAAGAACAGAATTAAATGTAATTGGATACAAGGGAACTTTTTGGAATGGTGAAGGTGTTCTGAAGTTGAATAGGGCTGATGGTATCACAACTATAAATTTACTAAAATCATATGAAAAACAGGGATTTTGAGCAATAAGATAGATTAGATGAGAAATGAAGTTTATTCAGAGAAGGGCTTTTTGCTCTCTTATGACCAAATTTACTGAGTTTACTTAAGCAAAATTGTAACAAATATGTTTCCTAACATTGTACTATATACTCTTTTCAGGAACAAATGGTAATTGACAGGAAGAGAAGTAAATACTTAAAAAAGCAACAGCAGAGAAGGACTCTTGAATATTACCTGATTATCTTGTATATGTCAGTAGAACCTGTTGCCATCTTGACATATATAGCTTGGTACAATTACTGATTACAAAGATGGCATCTGATCAGTAAGGAAAGCCTGATTTACGTTTGACATATTCAGGGTAGAAAAGCAGTGGAATCACATAATAGTTGTTTTTAGAAAAATATTAAAATTGAATGTAAAAGGGCTAGTTTGCTTATATTTCTATTCGTAATGGAAAATGGTGCCATTAAGTGAGGTAGGTTGTGTTTCCCTAATACAGGGTAATGTCTTTTATACAAAAATATTACACCTGACCAACTCTATTACAACAGAACATATAATTAGTGATTTTCTAATACTTGTGATAAAATTAATTCAAGTATCTGCTGTAAAGCAAAAAGGGCCAAGGGCATGTCTCAAGTGGTAGAGCACCTGCTTAGCAATTTAAGGCCTTGAGTTCAAACCCTAGCACATCCGCCCCCCCCACCATAATGTTTGTAGCTGGTACAGCGCCTAAAAATATTTGCTTATGGGCAAAATAAAACTGAATGAGAAATTTAAACTATGTTGAGATTTTTGTTATTAAGGGAGTTGATGGGCATGTAGGGTAATAGAATGCTTTTTTTAGAAGAAAGGAGATGAAGTTTCTGATCTTGGCTTTGTTATTAAATGGTTATCTCACTGTCAGAAACAAAGTTCTTAAGAATTTTTTTTTTTCTGGTATTGGGGTTGGAACTCAGGACCTCGTGCTTACTAGACAGGCATTCTACTACTTGAAACACATCCCCAGCCCTTTTTGTTTTAGTTATTTTTCAGATAGGGTCTTGCACTTTTTGCCCAAGCCAGCTTTGGACCAGGATCCTCCTGTGTCTTCCACATAGCTGGAATTACAGATGGGAGCTACCATGCCCGTCTTGTTTGTTGAGATATGGGGTCTTACTAACTTTTGCCCTTTAACTAGTTTCCTTTTGATTTCTGCCTCCTGAGTAGCTGGGGTTATAAAGATGTACCACAACACCTTGCCTTTTAAGTTTTGTAAGTAATATGTTCTTAATATTATAAAATGAGGATTTGTGTAAAAGATCATTAAGGCCTATAATAATGTAATGACTGTGTCCTTAATTGTTCAAATTAGGACACTGAAGTTGAAAGGGGGCACTATTAATAATTACCCCAGGGTAACTGAAATAAATAGAGATTAATAAATCCAGTAGCAACCAAATTATACTCTTCATGTCTTATTTTTATGAGTCTTCTTTTACCTTTTGTATTTTAGAACTCAAATTTAAAGGACTTAAAAGCAGGAAAAAGGACTAATATCAATCATAAATGTTTATTGTTGAACAAGGTAAAGATAGTATAATTTGAGGACATAGGATCATTTTAAAAATAAACCTTCACTTAATATTGCTGTAGTAGTAATGATTAAAAATGTATATAAAACAAAGAATTGTTTTGAAATATCAACTACTCTCATAAAGGAAGTTGAGAATATTTGCATATCACTATGAGTATATACCTTAATTTTTCTGGCATTTATAGGGAGAAATGAAATATTTCACTTTTGAATGTTTTCCAGACATAATTTGCTTTAAATTTTAATATAGTCTTCAAGGACTATAGTGTTTAGGTGGTTTACCCTTGTAGATTTCTTTAAATTGGCTTTTTGTATGTGTGTGTGTGTTTGGTGAGACTGTGGTTTGAACTCAGGCCTTTGCCCTTGTAAAGTAGGCACTCTACCACTTGAGCCACACCTCCAGTTCTGGCTTTTTGTAAGTTTTTTTTTTTTTTTTTGTGGCACAGGGGTTAATACTTTGAACTCAAGGCCTCATGCTTGCTTGGCAGGTGCTCTTACTGCTTGAGCCACTCTGTCAGACCCTTTTTTGTAGTTTTTAAAGAATCTTTTCCTGATGTGAGGCTCACTGCTATAAATTTTCTGACTTACCATGTTTCACTACAGTTATGTATGGAGGCATCTCTTCCCAGTGCTCCCATGTAAGTATAGTAACTGCAGGAAGGCCTCAAAATTGTGTGGTTTTTGATACCAAGTTTGATACAGTGCATAACTTTCTCATGTATTGGGTAAGTGCTTCTCAGACCTTTAATATGTATTTAGCTCATGGGTACATCTTATCAAAAAGATAGATTCATATTCAGCAGGTCTGAGGTGGACCAGAAATTCTGTTTTTCTGATGAGGTCCTAAATGATGTAGGAGCTGCTGTTCAATAGACTATGCTCAAAATACCAGCATTTTGCATGGTGTATTGGAATTTTAGCAGAGCAGTCCTGTTATATAGGGCCTTATATATGACTGGGTTCTTTCAGAAATCGATTTAAAAAGAAATGTTAGGACTTGCAAATTAAGTAATAGTTGATTGAATATTTGTCTTGCACATTTCCCTTTTTCATGTCTTAACTCTAGTTTTGCTTCTTTCTCATTTGTTTTCTGTTGTTGTGGTTTTTATTTTTGTTTAATATATTATTGTGTTTTGTGGATCTGGTCAGGGAACCGTTACTGTATTTTATGTTTGTATCTACATTTTATTTTGCATGCGTAACGTGGCTTTGCCTGGATGTTCTTTTTGGTAAGTTTCAAATTTATATAGCTTATTGGTTTTTTGTAGTGTAAGTTGTAAAGTTTTTCATCTCCTTTTCTCCCTCTTCTAGTAATGTGATCATGCTCATGATTTGTTTTTCATTTTTTTAGTTTACTCGATAATTGCTTTTTCCTAACATTTTCCAATTTCCCTTTATAGTAGTGCAATTTGATACTAATCTGCTTTGATTTATTTTGTAGACACACTATCAGTTGCTGACCACTATTAGCAGTTGCTGTCTCAAGTACTTTGGCTTTTTTAAAAAAGCCCTACTCATTTAGAAATATTGTTCTAAAAGCATATGCTTCCATATAGCAATCATAAAAGAAGATTGTAGTAAAATTTAGTACCTCTTCCTCTTTGAAAATACATTCTATTTTTTGTTTGTTTTTTTTACAGCAACAGCTTGCACAGCTACAGAAAGAAAAGTCAGAGATTCTGAAAAATCTGGCATTGTATTACTTCACATTTGTAGATGTTATGGAATTTAAGGTATGTACCTTAATATATAAAATTTAGTATCTCATAAATGGTTTAATGTTTCTTGATTGTGTAATTATTTGTCACTTATAGATAATAAAATTGGAATTCTTCTAGAACTGAAACCTAGAATGTACTTTATGTGCTTTTGTTTGCTGAATTTAAAATTATTTGTACAGTGCAGTGTGATTCAATGGTAGAGCACTTGCTGAGTATTCAGTCTGCCTTGGGCATAATCACCAGCACCACAAAGAAAAAAAAATTATACAAAGAAAAGATTAAAATAAGCCTTTTTTTTTCAGGACCATGTCTGTGAATTGCTAAATACGATTGATGTTTGCCAAGTCTTCTTTGATATTGTAAGTATTGTTTTTAGAAAAAATTCTAATTTTCTGTTTCCAGAAGAACTTGGAGGACCAATTGCTTTTCTTTAGAGAAAGTTTATATAACTAGAGTGCAAAGTTGTAGTGTTAATTTGGCTTGTATTATTAATTTGTATTGTATTACAAGTTGTGTTGTTAATTTTGCTTTTTTAAAAGTAAGCATTTATCACTTTTTTTTACTGAGTGTAGATCTTGTACATGCTGGGAAATAGTTGTTAGTGTTAGAATTTTATCTTAGCATGCCCAATTTAAAAAAAAAAAGAGTATAATTCTTTTTCTGTAAAAGGCATTCTTGATAGAATTTTTCTTAGTATGACAATTTCTATATATAGGAAGTCAAGAAATATCTCCTTTGACTTTGTAATGAAATTTTTTTTTTGATGTTCTGAGATAAGATCTTGCTATGTAGTCTGAGCTGGCCTCAAATACTTGGATTTTCTTGCCTCAGGAAAAAAAAAATTAAATACTCCTTTTTGTTCCTTGATAAGATTGGTACTGGTTTCTTCTTATTATGCTTCTTATTATAGTTTAAGCTTTCCCAGTTTGAATACAGTGCTCACAAGCTCTTCTTCCATAAGATTGTGTCACAAACACAAAATTATTACCTGTAATTTTTTCTGTGTTTAGAGAATGGAATTAGGTAGCATTTAGAAATAGGGATAAAATAGACAACTATAGAAAATTATTAGCTTTCAGTAGTTATGAAATTTTTTGTGTTTAAAAGTTTAACAAATAGGAAGGAGTTGAATTTGATTTTTTTCTAGACTGTGAACTTTGATTTAACAAAGAACTACTTAGATTTGATTATAACCTACACAACATTAATGATACTGCTGTCTCGAATTGAAGAAAGGAAGGCAATCATTGGTTTGTACAACTATGCTCATGAAATGACCCATGGAGCAAGGTAAACTGCATTATAAAAATTTTTTCTAAAATTCTCAACTTGATGGCTTACAACTCATTGAAATTTGATATGTGTGTTTCAAGTGACCGAGAATACCCACGCCTTGGTCAGATGATTGTGGATTATGAAAACCCTTTAAAAAAGATGATGGAAGAATTTGTACCCCATAGCAAGGTAAGGGCTGGTTTTTAGATATGCTATAGCAGATTTAGGAGATTATTTGTACAATGATAGTTAAAGAAATAAAAAAAAACTATAATGGAATATGCATAGTGATTTTTATTTAATTGTGAACCACAGTACTGATTATTTAGATTCACAGTAGTGTGTATAGCATATAGAAGTAGTAAATTGTGTAGTATAGTTTTTAAAAATATGTCTACTGTCATAACAGTCTCCATAGGTTGCAGTCTCAGCTCTTTGAATTGCTGACTATGTAATACTGGTCAAGTTATTTAACCATCCTCAAGGTATTTCAGTTTTCTTTTTAGTTAGAGTGAAAATAACACTTATCCATAAGGTTTTTATGACAGTTGAATCAATTACTTCATAAAAAGTGTTTAGATACTTAGTATTTGATAAATTTTAACTATTGTATCATAATGTCTTAGAATAATATGGAAATAATTTGAAATGTCAGTCTTTTAAGATATATTAAAAAGTAGTTCTTAATGAAATAATTTTGGTCAAAAGGAGTCTTGTCATTATGGCTTCTCTGCAGCAAGAGTAACTCAGAACTATATAGTTCCTAAGTGTTTCAGGGCCCTTCTTTGGTATCTCATCCAACCTCATCATTTCTAGATAAAGATTGAGTACTGGAGAAGTATCATCACAACATAAATCCATTTGGCCTAAACCAGATCTGAAGTCCAGAGTATTAGAATCTTGTTCTGTTGTCTTCAAATGAAAAGAGTTAGACTTTAATGATAATAATCCAGTATTCATATAAATTTATTATGAGGAATTTTCTTTCAGTTTCTTTCTCATGAAAATTCTGAAGATACAGTTCCAATTTAATTTCTTTGCGTAGCTCTGTAATACCGATTGAACATCTTTAATCTGAAAATCTAAAATCCAAAATAGTTTTGAGTATTGACAGGATGTCGCAAATGGAAAATTCCACACCTGACCTAATGTGACAGGTTGCAGTTAAAACACAGCACACTAAAAATATTGTACAAAATTACATTCAGGCTATGTAATGTGCATGAAATGTAAATGAATTTTGTGTTTGGTCTTGGATTCTGTCCTCAGGAGTTCTCATTTTACATATTTTCTAAAATACACACAAAAAATAGGAATCATTTCTGATCCCAAGCATTTGGATAAGGGATATTTAACCTATGTCTTAGAGTTAGGCAATTCATTAGTGTGAAAGAGGCTAGTAGAAGATGTGGGTTTGGAAGTAAACATTGGCATTGTGGATAAAAAGTGTCAAGATATATTAAAACATATCTTGGTCATCTCCCACTCTGATTTTGGTGCTACTTTTTTTGCACCTGCAACTGTCTTTACTCTTCTGTCTGGACCCATTTCTTTTTTTTTTTGTCAGATCACATTGTAGTTCTGGTTCTGTTTCCTTGGGTTCCTTCCATACTGTTTTCCATAATGCTTGTACTAATTTACATTCCTACCAGTCACGTAGAAGAGTTTCTCTTTCTCCTTATTCTCACTAGTATTTGTTATTTTACTTTATTTTGCCTTTTTTGGTATAGTTATCCTAACTGTGGTCACATGATATCTCATTGTAATTTTGATTTACATTTCCCTGATGATTAGTGCTATTGAGTATTTTTTTCATGTAATTGTTGGTCATTTTATATCTTTATTTGAAAGATGTCTGTTAGTACAGTTTCCCAGTTTTTGGACTATTTGTTTTGATTTGACTATTTTGTTTTGTTTTTCTTCTGTATTGTAGAAATTAGTGTCTTGTTGGATGAATAGTTTGGAATTATTTTCTCTCATTCTTTTTTGGTGGTACTAAGGTTTGAACTCAGGGTCTTTAGCTTGCTGGGAAAGTGCTGTACCACTTGAGCCACACCCCAGCCCTATTTGCTTTAATTATTTTTCAGACAGGGCCTCATGTTTTTTGCCTGGGAATGGCCTTGGCCTGCAGTCCTCCTACTTACACATCTCACATATCTGGGATTACAGATATGTATATCTTGCCCAGGTTTTTTTGTTGTTGCTGAGATGGGGTCTCACTAACTTTTTTGCCTGGGCTGGTCTTGAACTGTGATTCTTCCAATCTCTACCTCTCAAGTAGGTGGGATTACTGTGCCTGACCTATTTTTTTTCCCATGCTTTTGTTGGTTCACCCTATTGATTATTTCCAGTGCTGTGCAGAACCTTTGAAGTTTGATAAAATCTGATTTGTCTGTTCTTGCTTTAGTTACTTGTGCTTTTGAAGTATTATCCAAAAAAATCATTGCCTGCAGCAATTTATTGAAGAATTTCCCCCATTTTTTTTCTAATAGTTTCATAATTTCATAACTTACATTTAGGTCTGTTTTAAGCTGGGTTTTGCATATGGTTAGAGATGGGGTCTAGTTTCATTCTTTTTCATGTAAAATATTTGGTTTTCTTAGTGTCATTTTATTGAAGTGACTGTCCTTTCTTTGATATATGTTTTTGACAACTTTGTTGAAAGTCCATTGGCTGTTGATGCACCGTTTTACTGCTGGGTTCTCTGTTCTCTTTCACTGGTCTGTATCAGTTTCTATGCCAGTACCATTTAATTTTGGTTGCTATAGCTTTGTAGGATGTTTTTAGGTCAGGTATTGTGCCTCCTCCAGCTTTTGTTTTTTTGCTTAATAACTAATCAGGGTCTTCTGTGGCTCCATATGAGTTTTAGGATTGTCATTAATGTTAGATGGAATTGCATCAAAATTGTAGATCATTTTGTATAGTAGGACATTTTAACAATATGAGTCCTAATCCATGAACATGGAATTTTTTTCCCATTTCTTTGTGATCTCTTTGACTTCTTTCATCAGTGTTCTGTAGTTTTCACTGATCTCTAGATCATTCACTTCCTTAATTAAATTTATTTCGAGTTGTTTAATTTTGTAGCTATTGTGAATGAATTTGCATTCTTGACTTTTTTCTCAGTAAGTTCATTATTGTCATATAAAAATGCTATTGATTTCTGTAGTTTGACTTTGTTTCCTGCAACCTTACTGAATTTGTTTAGCTGTTCTAACAGCTTTTATGTGGCATTTTTAGGTTTTTATACAAATAAAATCATGCTGCCTGCAAATGGGGATAATTTGACTTTCTGCTTCCCAACTTGGTGCCCTGTATTTCTTTTTCTTGCCAGATTGCATGGGCTAAGAATATAAATGGTGAAGGGAACATTCTTTTCTTAAAGGGGACATTCAGATATTAGGGGAAACACTTTGAGCTTTTCACCACTCAGAATGATACTGGTATGGGTTTGTCAGATGAAACCTCTATTGTATTAAGGTACATTCCTTCCATACCTGATTTTTTGAGGGATTATTATTACTATTTTTGTGGAGGGATGCTCAATTTCCCTATAGCCCTTTTCTGTATCTAATAATGTGATCATGGTTTTGCTTTTGATATGATATGTTATGTTTATTGACTTGTATATGTTAGCTATTTTTGCATCCCTGATATAAATTCCACTTGATCATGGTGTATAATCTATTAGATATGCTATTGGAATCAATTTACTAGTAGTTTGTTGAGAAGTTTTGCATTTATTTTACTTTTAAATTTTTAAACATTTTTATTAGCATCTATTTGTTGTATAGGGGATTTCATTGTGACATTCCCAAATATGCTTACAATGTACCTTGGTTTGTTCATCCCCGCCATATTCTCCCTCATTCCTTGAATTTTTACATTTTACCCTAATCATGTACGGCTTTGATTTATTTACTCACTTCAAATTTGATTCTTTTTCTACTTAAGTGACAAAAATTTCCTTAAAGTCTATTTGCAGTGTTCCTCATTTTTCTGTTAGGATTAAAAAAAAATCTGCCAGGAATTACATTTTTAAAAAAGAACATTAAAGAAAAAGAACATGATAATCCTAGCACAGTACTCAACATATAGTGATTTATTGATAATTACTTAAGAGAATTGTTCATTTGAGTCATTAATTTCCTAATCTTGATTTTTCTGATGTTCCGTGATACCTCAGAGTTTTGTTAGAAAGGATACCATACATCTGCCAGGATTTAAAAAAAAAGGTTCACATAATTTAATTTTATAAAAACCTTCTTAATTGGTTACATCAGAATCATTTGGTGGAACTTAATAAAATTATAAAGTCTGGTATTCTTTTTTTCCCTTTTAGATGGAGTCCTGGAAACACTGAACAAATTCCCCTGACAGTTCATGTGGGGCCAGATTAAAGAATCACTCTGTATGGAATTTTTAGGGAGGAAAGATGAATGGCGATGGTAGTTATAAAATCAAGAAACAGATGAAATGAAACATAAAATAAATACCTTGATGATAATGCTGTAGTGAACAAATAGAAGTTAACTAATTTGTTAAGTTAGAACCCAGTAGATTGATTTTATAAGTCATTAACTGGAAAAACATAAAATCTGTTAAGCTCACTTAAGACATAAGCATATAGCCCTAAAGTCTTTATTTTAGCAAGAACTATCAGCATACAAATTTACATTATACAAAAAGATGACAATTGGTCTCTACCGCTTTTAAAATAAAGAGCCCAGGTTGAGGATGTGTCTTACTGGTACAGTGCTTGCTTAGCACATGTGAGGCCCTAGTTTCAGTCCCAGCTCCATCAAAATAAATAAATAAATACCAAAAAAATGATGTACATTTTAATCATTAAGAAGGTGATATGATTTCCTGAGCAAAGCTCTTGCCTACAAATACAGAATCTATATAGTTTTTGTAAATTAAAAAAAAAAGTCTAGAGGAGGGAGCCATAACCCCAACGCATAGGGAACACGATTATAATTAGGTTCTGTTGCTTTATAAAGGTATAGTTAGAAATACATAGCAGTAGCAGCTGAAATTTAAATGAAAAAAGAAAAAATATTTCTTAACTTTGTTTTTCCTATATTAATTAGTCTCTTTCAGATGCACTAATTTCTCTTCAAATGGTGTATCCTCGAAGGAATCTTTCAGCTGATCAGTGGAGAAATGCCCAGTTGTTGAGTCTCATCAGTGCTCCCAGTACAATGCTTAATCCTGCACAATCAGACACTGTATGCTTCCATTTTTTTCCCTTTTTGAATGAAAGTAAATGATTTTTAAAAACTATCATTTAAGCAATGTTACAGTTTTTTCTAATTAGCACTAACCTACCAGTGAAATGCTCATTAGTGAAGTTATACTGTTTAATTTTTAAATTTTTAGATCTCAGCAAAACTAATGTTAAATTTATGTGACTAATAGTATGAGTACTTTTCTTTAAAGTTTAAAATACTATTTTGTTCTGTCATGGTAAAAAAATTTGAAGAAAAGCATAAAGAAAAAAAATCACCCAAAATCTTAATCAACTAGATAAAATCATTATTATATTCTTGTATATTTCTTTTCAACCATTTCTCTATGTATATGAACATAGGTGTTATGGAGAATGCACACTGACAGTTCACTGATTTGGGCATGATAGCATTTAGGCACATCAGTCTCTTTTCATTTGATTTGACAGAAGTTTATCTTTTGGAATAACGTAAATTATGAGAGAGGCTTGAGAAACTGGAAAGCTATCATTTATCAAACTGAAAACAATTTAGCAACAATATTTTTTAAAAAGATGGTTGAGGGTATACAAGTGTGAAAGGGACATGGCTCCTATTGTTCTTTATTGACTGCAAGTTTACATATAAATTATTTTACTCTTACCAACTTTTCAATTTTGTTGTGTTATTTGGACCAAGAATTGAGTAGTGAGAATTCTTAGAAGGAAAACAGGAGAGTGATTGAATATGGAAATTTCTTAGAATTTCTTTTAACCATAAATGTTTACATTCTCTTTATTAAGATGCCTTGTGAATATCTCTCTTTGGATGCAATGGAGAAGTGGATCATCTGTAAGTAAAATGAGTTAGTTTTGGGATTACTCTTCAAGTTTTAAGTTTTAGAGAAAAATAACTGGTAACATGTCTTAACCTCTCTATTTCTCACTGTGCTAAGCCGTCTGTGTGCTTAGCTTATTCAGTCCTCATCTTGACCCCGACAGAGCATAGATAGTCTTGTCTATTTTATAGGTGAGAAATCTAAAGCTTTGACTACACAGCTACTGAGTAGCAAAAACAAGGTAAGAGCCCTGACTAATTCCAGGGCTCATGAGCTACATTGTATGCACTGCTTTTTCAACATAACTTTCCACAAAAGGTGTTGTTTTTAATGATTTTCTTTTATTTCACATATATTCAGTTAAGTTTTTGACTCATGTTCGGCAATTTGATAGAAGCATGAGGGATAAAATTTCTTTTTTCTGTCCTAGGAAGCACAGAAACTATTGGGAAATAGACACACAGATGTAATTCGAAATGAGAATTGTTATACTATAGTTAAATTCCTACTCATAGGCCCACTGCCAGAGGGAAATAATTTTGAATAGTTTGTACTTTTTAAAGTTCTTATAGTACTTTGCTTCTTACTAACTTTTAGGTAGGATTTGTAAACTTTTTATTAAAGTGTTTCTCCAAGTGTGATGAAGAATCAGTTTTTCTTCTTTAATTTTTTTTGTGGATTGATATTTTAATAAAAGTAATATGAATCATTATAGAATTTACAGAAAACGAGGTAGTGAACAAAGATATAAAATAAAAGCTCATAGTTTTGATTATTAGATTCAATTTAATCTTAACACCTACATTGTTAATTAGATTTCTACTTAGAAATCACTGTCATTTTATTAAAAATTTTAAATACTCTTAGATGTGATTTAAGAATTGAGTTGATTAGTAAATGGAGCTGTCATATGGGTGACCTTTGACATTCAGTAGTTTAAAAAATGGGAGTGACTATTGAGAATCATAGGAAAATCTCACAAAAAAAATGGGACTGGTTTATTCCTGGCTTGTCATAGAACCTTGTATGCATATAGTAGGTATTGAGTAAATATTGAATGACTAAAGATAAGGTCTTATGTCTTAGTAGAGAAGTTTAGAGAGGAAATCCAGCAAGCATATTTCAAGATTATACATTTGTGTAGAATTTCCAGATTAGATAGAAAAATGTAAAAGAAATATTTAGAATTCATATAAGACAGCAACTTAATATTTGAAGGAATATTGGATTTAAGGGTAAATACTGAGATTTAAGTCCTAGCTCTATTACTTTAATAACAACCTTGTAGAAGTCATTGAATCTTCACTTCTTTAACTGTAAAACAAGGATACATCCTGTCTTATCTAATACACAAGATAATAATGTGAAGTAATATGTGTGAAAAGACTTAGTAAACAATAAATTGCTATGAAAATGCAAGATGCTATTATTACCCTGTAATTTCTTCTTATGACTGAGAAAAGTAGATTAGCTTTATTTTTTGGTTATTTTCAACTGTAATGATTACTGTATTATTGTGTATTACTTAGTAATTTCTGATCTTTCACTTAAATATTTTCGGTGGTACTGGGGTTTGTACTTAGGGCCTTGTTCTTGCTAAGCAGATGCTTTACCACTTGAACAATATCCAAGGGCTTGACTTATCCTTTATTTTTTGACAATATTGAGGTTTGAATTCAGGGCTTTACACTTGCCAGGCAGACACTTTATCACTTGAGTTACACTACACCCTTAAAATATTTCTTAAATATTCCTGTAAATATCTTGTTAAAATGACTTCACTTTAACTGAGAAATGCCTTTTTTCTCCTTTTCATTAGTGTGGGCTCAAAGAACTGATTTTGCAAAATACAGAAAATTATAATTGGAAAAGAAAAATACTGTTTTCATATATGTATATATATACACACACACATTTTTAGGTGTATTTATGTATTATGACTTGTTACTTAAAAGCCTCAATTTACTGATTTTGTATCTTTAAAAAGAGCTATGCTGTTAGAGCTCCTGCCTTGCAAAGTGTGACACCCTGAGTTCAAACCGCAGTACAGCAAAAAAAAAAATAAGCTGTGCTATAACCAAAAGAACTTAACTTTGGAATACTTTTACATTGTGTTTGCTTCTCTTTTTATTTGAAGTTGGCTTTATTTTGTGCCATGGAATCCTAAATACCGATGCTACAGCACTGAACCTTTGGAAACTAGCTCTTCAAAGTAGCTCTTGCCTCTCTCTCTTTCGAGATGAAGTATTCCACATTCACAAAGCTGCAGAGGATTTATTTGTAAACATACGAGGGTATGAAGTTTTCAGTTATTTTGTGATTTTGTGGGGGAGGGTGGTGAGCGGATTACTTTTACTGAAGTAGGTTTGGGGATAGAGAAGTGGTCACACCTTGCAGAAAGATGTAGCAATACGGTCTTACTTTGTTCAGCCAGTTCCTGTTAACTATTCTGATGTGATAGCAATAATGTTTGTCTAGGTAACCTCACAGTCTAAAAACTTTAAGATTCCTACCCTTGTTAAAAACTTGTGTTTAGAGAAAGAAGTGTCCTCTTTTATAAACCACACATGTTTTTTGGACATAAATATTACTGGAAGCACCATAATTGTTTTAGAGCTTTGAAATCTTTAGAAGTATCAGTTAAGAATAAAATATATTTATAAAACTATTTGAAGCAATCAAAAATACTTCATTAGATTAATTATGACAATCACAGAAGTCAGACCACTGCACGTACAAAATCATGTTTCCTTAAAGTGAATGTACCGCAAGTGATTTATTTTTACTTACTCCCTGTAAAGCAAGTAATTCCCTGAAATTTGTTTCCTTGAAAATTTTAATACCTTCATTCCTCTTCACTTAAGGTCCTGCAGCCAGTATGTAAAAAGCCAAGTTGAATTCACACTTGGTAACAATTTTTTAAATCTTTCAAAACAAAGAACATTTAAAATATCCTGGGATTTCGCATACTTAGGTTGAATAATTATACTAGGATTGCTAGCTTTAGATCAAAATGAAATTTGTAAGCTGGGCACCAGTGGCTCATGCCTATAATCCTAGCTACTCAAGAGGCAAAGATTAGGAGGATCACAGTTCATAGCCAGCCCAGGCAAATAGTTCGTGAGACACTATCTCAAAAAAACCCATCACAGAAAAAGTGCTGGTGGAGTGACTCAAGGTGTAGGCCCTCAGTTCAAACCTCAGTACCATAAAAAAATAAAAAGAAATTTGTGTGCATTCATGTCTCATCCAATTCAATAATGTTCCAATGAAGTTGAGATAAAACAAAGCTTCTGTTAGTTATTAAAAAACAAAAATGTATCTGGTATTAACAGTTTACACCAATATGTATTCTCAGATCTTAGTGTATTGTAAGAATTACTGTAGATTACAAATTGAAATTCAGGTTCTTGGGTACCATGCATTACCTTTTATAACTATGCCTTGAAGAGGCATAATAATAATTTTATTGAGGTAAAATTTACAAATAAAAAAGATAAATAAATCTTAGGTGTGTAGTTCAATGACCTTGCATATGATTATTGTGCAAATATCACCCAGACCAAGATGCAGAACATTTCCATCTTCCCTAGACAATTTCTTTTGTGCCTCTTTTGTCAGTACATCTACAAGCCCTCGCTCCACCTCAAATGACCACCATTCTGACTTCTGCCACCATAAGTGCTTATGATATTCTCAGGCAGGTGATCTCTTGTTGTCAGTCATAATAGGAGAAATATTATCCAGTGTACTTTTCAGCTTATTTTAGATGGTGGAATACTTTTAAATACTCTGTTAGATGGACATGTGCTTTTCAGCTCTTATTTTAGATGGTGGAACACCTTAAATACTTTATTAGATGGGTTTTGTCAAATCATGACACTCGTAGTCTTACAATACTGACCATCTTTTTTTATCTAAAAATATGTAAGCATTTAAAATCAGGAGTCTGTGAATATTCAGTGAACTTACATATGGTGTAGATAAGCCTAATGGAACCACAAAAATAATCATCTTAGCTTTTTTTTTTTTTTTGACTATACTGGGGTTTGAACTCTGGGACTTGCACTTGCTAGGCAGCAGGTGCTCTAGCACTTGAGCCACTCTGCCAGCCATATTGTTCTTTTTTAATGATAAAATGGTCATTTAAGAATCTCTGTATTTAAAGTCAAGAGGTTTGAATGTTTGATTGAATTATGAGCAATGAATCCAATTTAAAATATGACTACAGTCAAACTAAGCGTAAAAGCTTATTATTTATAGATGCTGATAATTATAGGATAAGTGTGTTTTAGAAAGGTGTTCAAAGGACATACATATCTTTAGTGCTTACACCAGAAATGTTCATTTGATGTAAGTAGTTTAGTCAGGTTGTCAGGAAGATACTGTTTTCTTTAATATTTTAGGAATTTTGAGTTTTTATAGCTAGTACTCATGAAATTATTTACTAGTATTTGTTTTTCCAGTGACACCTCTAATTGATGTTGGTGTTCTGTTTCTTTTTATTAAATATTTTCTAATAAGATTTTTAAATAGTAGGTAAATCATCCATAATTCTAGCTGCTAAAATAATTTAAAGCTTTCTTGACTTATTTTTCTTCACCACAAAACCACAGAGTCACTACTATTGCTCCCTCATGTGTATCCTTTCAACATTTTCCTATGCTTGTGAGGTAGCTTGATAAGTCAGAAGTGATAACTTTGCTAGCACTTTATATTCTTAGAATCACTGTTAATGGCATCAGAAGTATAATTTTATCTGTTGAGGCTTAAGGAAGTAATAAGATTTAATAAAATTAAAATCTGCATTGTGAATTTTTGTTTTATGTTTGGATTTAATAGAACATGAGATTTAGTTTTCTAGAAAGACTTAAGTACCTAAGAGGCTAGGAGAAGATGTCCCTCCATTTCATTTGAGGGACAGTTTTTTGTTGTTGTTGAAAATGTGTCATTTTGATTTTTAGTATTTTACACTTCTTTTTCACTATTATTTTTCAAGTTAAAATTGATGTATTTTTTTCTTACACATAGCTACAATAAACGTATTAATGACATAAGAGAATGCAAGGAAGCAGCCGTGTCACATGCGTAAGTAGTTCTTTTTATATGTGATACTTTTAATCAAGAATAATTTCTTAAAGCATTATTTTGTTGAAGTGAGTACAGATTGATGATGTGCAAGACGTGGTAGTGGAAGCGGGAACTTTGAATCAAGGAGAAGTACTAATCATGTCACCTCCTCATCTAGTAACTTTTGAATTAGTGCAGATTTTAAATATTTTAAAAGTGTTGGTAAAATGCTCTGAGAAGTGCCATACAAAGGGCTTTTATTTTAGGTGTCAAATCTTAACTGCCCATATGCTTCCTGTACCATTAAGTTTTGCAAGTAGTGTTGATTTGGTACTACTTCATTAAAATTGATATACTCTCATACCGTTCCAAATAGTGTACACTTTTGAGAATATATTAACTTTACATCTTTCCTCAATTTTTGTTTCTTATATTTATAAATATATAACAATCCTGAGTTAGGAACTGATATATTTTATTTAAGGCTTTTGAACTGCCAAGTTTTCTCATGAATTGATTTTACATAATTTGATATTTTATCTTATTTATTATGTATATTGTATACTTATATTTTCTCCTGTGAACTTAGATGAGATAATAGAGGCAATATTACTGTTCCAACAGTATTTCTGTAAGGCAGAGAGATGATGAGCACCATTCCATATATGATGGTATAAAACCACAAGAAGTTTTAAAATTTAACTTTAGGCTACGGGGTAGAGGTTGAAAATTTAAACCGTCTTTATTCATTTTTATCTGTCCTTTTATTTCTTATGCCTACACTTTATACTTGAATAAAGCACAGTTGTTTTCATAATTCAAAAGTGATTCTCAAGTGCAAATAGCATAGTTAAGAATCTGTTAGTATTCTTTTCTAGACCGATAGAAATACATACAACTGTCATACTCCTCACAGCAACTGTAGAAGTAAAATAGTTAAAATAACATTTACTTCTTCTTAGAAGTGGCACCAGATGACTTTATTATCAGTAAAATGAGCTAGTAATTGAAGTTATAGTAAGGTATTACAGAAGTATTATATATCAAACAACATGAAAAATGAGTGTATCTTTTGAGGCAGGTGTCATTATATTTGTTTTATAGATGAGAAGCTGAAACTTAACAGAGGTGGAACCTAAAAATACTTGTGTACCTATATGTACCTTTATGTATCTACCTAAATTTTAAAACTTTCTCGGAGCAGTGTATATTTTGCATACTACGGAGGAGTTGAGAAACTTAGAACATTTCATGGTTTTCCCCATTCTGTTAATATGTGAAAATAAGTTCTAATTTGCATTTTAATTTAAAAATGCCCAATACATGAGTATTTATGATTATCTTTTTTCTTCCTATCTTTCTATTTCTGAACTTACTTTTAGTCAAAAATTTTATATATTTAATGGGCATGTACTTAAATAAGAATATAAATAACCAGATACTTACTAAATTACGTTCATTAATTTCTGTGTGGAAAGTGACAAAAATGTATATAGCAAGCCAGTGCTTGTGTTCAAGGATTTTCATAGTCCAGTTTATAACGTACTAATGTATATAGTCCTAAAATTATTCAAAAATAGACAGCTGGATATTGGAAATGCTTCATGAAGGAGTAGTCTGTAAAAGTGGATGGGATTTTGTTAAATGGAGAGCAGCAGAATAAATGTAGTTACAATAGTAATACAAGAAAGACAGCATAAGATTAGAGCATCATTTAATGAAAAATACATAGATTACTTTTAGTGGAGATTCTACTTCCTAAAAATAGTTTGGAAGTTGACATTGACATGCTAGGTTACTTTAATTGCCAATAATTATTTTAGTAGAAACGAACTATAATGACATTTTTCCCTGCTACAGCGGTTCCATGCACAGAGAAAGACGCAAGTTTTTAAGGTCTGCACTGAAAGAATTGGCTACTGTCCTCTCTGACCAACCTGGCTTGCTGGGTCCCAAGGTAGTTGACTTAATTCTTACTTTAGAAAGTGTATCATATGAAAAAATTTAAAAACATTTCTTCTATATGAAACTTTACAAAGGTTTGAGTCAGAGACTATATAAAAGGAGTTTTTCATTTAACCAAGAATGAATTTGCTGCCTGACACTCATTTAGTTTCCTGCATTTTCTTCACTTTTTTTTGGTGGTAGTAGGGTAGGGTTTCATGCTTGCTAGCCAGGCACTCTACCACTTGAGCCATGACCCAGCCCTCCCTGCTTCTTATGTGCATGCTCATCTCCAAGTTTCTTCTGTCTTCTTGGGTTAGTCTCCTCTTTTGAATTTTGTATTATCATTTCTTGCTAATGACTTTGATTTAGAGAAAGTTTATAAATAGATTTTGTTTTTAATCTTTGAGAATAAACATTATTTTTTTGTTTTTAAATAGGCACTTTTTGTTTTTATGGCATTATCTTTTGCCCGTGATGAAATTATCTGGCTACTTCGTCATGCAGATAACATGCCAAAGAAGAGTGCAGATGACTTTATAGATAAGTAAGTTAGTGACATTAGAAAAACATTTTTAAAATTTTATTTATTATGAACTATGGGCTGTGGAATCTAAGGACTGAAATTTGAAGTAAACCTGTTTCATTAAACTTTTTTAAAGACTATGTTTATCATAATAGAAATGTTTGTAACATATCATTTGATGGTATGAATTAGAATGCAAAAAAGTTAGGGCTTTAGTGTTTTCTCTGTAATACATTAGGTGATGATAAAGTCATTTATGCTCTTGTTCTTCCCGGTAATATTTCCTGTGAATTTGCTTTTCAAAATTATTCACTGCACAAAACATTTTTTTCCTTTATTGTTGTGCTGGGTGAGGGTACATTGTGGTTGCACAAAACATTAAAATAAGAATTCATATGTAATAGAGTTGCAGCCCAGTGTGTCATTTGAAATATCTTTCTCTTGTTTTAATCCATAGTATCTCAATAGGAGTTGATAAATGAAAACAGAGACATAAGAGCATACAGAAAGATCTTGTTTCTTGCTAATACTCTTGATATTTTTAATGATGTGGTTATGAAATGTCTGAATTTTATTTTCATTTTGGGTTTTCTGCTATCAGTTTTTAGTCTTAGCATTTTTCTTATTTGTTGTTTGTTTCCATGGTTTCTTTATTCATAGAAATAATTTTAAAAAGGAATTAATTGACATTAAATATTAAACAACATCCTTTCTTAGAAAAAAGTTCTAGAAATAATATCAAAAGCGTTTAGTATTTTCTATCCTTTGAAATATTTTTCTTAAATTTTAAAAAAGGCACATTGCTGAATTAATATTTTACATGGAAGAACTTAGAGCACATGTTAGGAAATATGGACCTGTAATGCAGAGATACTATGTGCAGTACCTTTCTGGCTTTGATGCTGTTGTCCTCAATGAACTCGTGCAGGTAAAAACTATCTCATATTATTCCCCCTTTTAGTGTTTCCTTCCTGCCTTTTTTATTTTACTTGTTTGTTCAATAGTAATTTATAAAATACAATCATGTGCCAAGCAGTGGAAATACAAATGTAAGTTAAGTCATGGTCATATCTTATCAAGGAGATGATTATCCTGAGATGAGAAAGCAATTATTTGTAGTCCATTGTGGTAGGTGTTATGCTTAAGTTTATGCAAAATTCAGAAGGAACACAATGAAGAGAACAGTTATTTATCCTCAGGACAAAGGTGTACACTGAACAAATTATAGAGGGCCTTGTGAGAGAAGGCTACTCATAAATCACATTTACTACTTAGAAAGATCACCCTGGCCCAGTGTGGATGATGGACTGCTAGAGGCCCAGAGAAGAGGCAGACATACCAGAAAGAAGAAAAATTCCTGCAGAAGGCTACGTGAGAGCCATGCTTTGACAATGGTTGTGGATATAGAAAAGATAACACACAATATACTTGATAATTAGATATTAGGGAAAAAGTAGGAAAAAAATGTTTTTGAATAGTTTGTTAAAAGATGGAAAGTAAATAAAGATTTCATCTAGGTGTTCTAATTTAAATGTCCTAATTTTATTTTGGATTTTCCTTTGTTGGTTTTAGTCTTCACTTCCATAATTTCTTTACTCAGTCTTTTTCACCTTAATGTAAATTTCCTTTTATTATATTCCAAATAAATTGATTGTAAGAAAATAGTATTTTATTTTGCTTCTCTTTATAAATTCATAGTTATCCAAAGCTGAAGAGCAATATAAAATCTCTTTATTAGCTGATGATGGGTGCCTATAATCTCAGCACTTGGGAGGCTGAGGCAGGAGGATTAGGAGTTTGAGCCCATCCTGGGCTTCATAATGTAGATCTTGTCTCAAAAAAAAAAAAAAAATTCTCTACTGGTTTTTCTAAAGTAATTTATTTCTTCTTTTATCCACTAGATGGGGCTCAGATATTTCCTTTCTAGAATTGCCATTAAAAAAGGGAATAGTAAACCTGTTAAATAGCAAGAGTATTATTGCCTTGTAATTTTATAGTTATTACTTATCAGATAAGCCAGAGGCCATGGTTACTGTTTCTTTATTTATTCATTCATATTAGCATACAATCTTAAAAAGGAAATCAAGACTCCTGGTTCCATATAACTTTTGAAACTACATTGTGGCTATTTATATATTTATTAATAAATTTTACAGATTTTTAATACTGTGTTAAAATGTTTGAAGCACTTGAAATCCATTGGTGCCTTTTATATACAGTGGAGTGAACCAATAAGAAAGTTCTTAGCATTTCTTCTGGGATTATAGTAATAGTGGTAGTGTCAGCAATAGGAATAATACTCATATTAAAAGTTGCTATGTTCATTAATAGTATATTTTATTAAATCTATACACTAACTCTTGGGAGGGTAGATATAGTTATCATTATTTGCTAATGAAAAAAACACTGAATGTCATTGTACTAATGCACAGTTCATTAGGAATAAAGACAGTATTCATACTCAAATGTTTAACTCCAAAGTCTGGACTTTTTAACCTCCCTTTTCTGTAACAGAATACATTCATGGTGCTTCTAGCCTTTTGCTAAGATGTAAATGTAGAAATAAGATTGTAAACCTATAATGTAGTTACAGGTATTTTTTTTATTGTGGTAAAGTATACATAACAATTTATCATTTGAATGATTTTTAAGTATAAAGTTCATTGACATTATGTATATTCATATTGTTGTATGGGAATTGATGCTTTGAAAATATGTTTTGTAAGCATTCACTTTTAAAAAAACAATTTAACATCAACTTTAGACTAAGTTTATCAAATACTCATTTCATGTTTTTGGTTTTGTAGCACTGGGGATTGAAGCCAGGGCTCTTGTATGCTAGGCAAGCATTCTACCACTGAGCTAGATCCACAGACCCCAAATACTCATTTTCTTAATCAGTTTGAAAATTTTCTTTTTCTTTTTCTTTTATTGGAGATTAAAAGCCATTCATTTTTACTGCAGTTTTTTATTTGGGGCAGCTGCATATATTCATGTAACTATCATCTCATTTAAGATGTAGAACATTTACAGCATCTCTGAAAGTTTTCTTGTGTAACTTTTTGATAGATTCACTCACGGGTTCCCCCAAACAACAACTAATTTGCCATTAATATAGTTTTACTGTTTTGAAACTTTTTCATATAAGTGAAGTCTTGTTCTTTATATAATTTTTTCTTTTTTTATTTCTTTCACTTAGCATAATGTTTTTGAGATTCGTGTTATGGTATATATCAACATTTTATTCCTTTTTATTTCTGAAAAATATCCCATGGTAAGGATATACCAGTTCATTTTATCTATCTACTAGTTGATGGATATATGAGTTGTTTCCTTACTAGATGTTGTCAACGTTACTTTTTGCTTTTTTTTCCAGAATCTTTCTGTTTGCCCTGAAGATGAATCTATCATCATGTCCTCCTTTGTCAATACTATGACTTCCTTAAGTGTAAAACAAGGTCAGTCTTTTAAATAAAAACATCTTATAATTAAGTTTTCAAGCTTGATTATTAAGGAGAGAATTTTACAAGTTAATTTTTACAGAATCAGTTACCTCATTTTTTGGATATATTTGCTTTGCGATTTTTTTGTCTTAATTTTATTCTTTCTGAAGTAGAGGTTTCCAAAATGGGTTTGAGATAGTATTTATAAAAATCATAAGTATTATATCTTGATATTTTATATTTTAGGGAAAAAAGAAACATTTTTTAACAAAAAAAGTAAAATGGAACAACAGAGAACTGAGTATTGTAATAAAATGTATTTTTCATCCAAGCATATTTATAATAATAGTGAATACTATTTGTAAAATGTTTAACCTGTGTTAGGCACTTTAAATCTATATAATATATTATATAATTTATATCTATATAATCTCATTTAATCCCCATCACTTTTTTTCTAGATATAATGTTTTGTTCCTTTGCCATAGGGCTGAACTTTTTTTCCCATTTTTATTAGGATATATTTGTTGTACAGGGGGGATTCATTGTGGTAATTCCTAGTAGCCTTACACTGTACATTGGTTAGATTGCTCCCATCACCCATCCCCACAAACCCTTCCCTGCCCCACTTAAAACATTTGCAAGAGGTTTCATCATTCTACTTCATGTATGTACATGAAGCCCATCAACTGTATTCCCTTACCTTCATCTCCTCCATTCTTTATCCCCCTCCCTTAGTTACCCCCCCATACTGTACCTATTTAATGGCCCTGTCTTTCATTAGTGATTCCTTAGTCAGTGTTCAAAGAGGTTTCTTGAAGTATCCCCACTGTGAGTGAGTATATGTTATTTTGGTTAGTTCAACCACTTCCGTTACTCTTCCTTTCCCCTTCCCTCCCACCCCTCCCATTATTCAACAGCTTTGAATACATATCATTCCATGTTACTTTTTTTTTAAACACTCATTCCTTTTACTTGACAGATGTGAAAACTCAAGAGTTTGAGAATTAACCTTTCAATTATGTAACTTTTTTTTTTTTTTGGAGAGAAATGAACCAAGCCTTGTATGCACATATGAATAATAAAAGAAAAAAAAACAATTATGTAACATGATTTACGCAAACTTTAGCAGCTTTCAAATAAGAATAGTACTTGGAAGTTAGGTATGTCAATTTCAGAAATTGACATCCTAATTGGATCACCTGCCCCTTATTTGAACATTTTATTCCAATAGATTCATACCGTGTTTTAGTTTTATAGTTTTTAAACTATAGTTTTATAGTTTTTAAACTATAGTTTTATAGTTTTATAATAATAAAAGAAAAAAAAACAATTATGTAACATGATTACGCAAATTTAGCAGCTTTCAAATAAGAATAGTACTTGGAATTAGGTATGTCAATTTCAGAATTAGACATCCTAATTGGATCACCTGCCCTTATTGAACATTTATTCCAATAGATTCATACCGTGTTTTAGTTTTATAGTTTTTAAACTATAGTTTTATAGTTTTTAAACTATAGTTTTATAGTTTTATAGTTGATAAAAGGTGTCAGAAACCTTGAAAACATCTGAGTAATATGTAAGTATTTATTTTGGTCAAGTCAGTGTTTATAGTTACTTGTGTGGTGATGTTTAGTTTAGATAAGGAGTTTTAGCAAGCTATCCAAACTTTCTGTTCATAGGATCCTTCATATTCTGTACTGTTGCTTCATATTGACATGTAAGCACACTGAGAGAGAGCTTAGGAAAGAAGTCTGCTTCTCTGACAATAATTGCCTCATTTATCTTTACAGGACTGAGAAGTGTTTCGGTGTCAGCTCTGAAAATAAAGTTTTTTTTTGTTTTTTAATTGTAAAATACACTTAATATAAAATTTACTTTCTTAACCATTTTTGAGTGATAGTTCACTAGTGTTAGGTATGTTTATATTATTGTACCATCAATCTCCAGATGTTTTTCATCTTGAAAAACTGAAATTCTGGCCTTAAACAACAGTCCATTTTCCTCTTCTCCTAGCCCTAGCAACCTTCATCATACTTCTG